CCCCCCGTACGGATCTCCGCACGGATCCGGTCTGTGCGGGTGCGGCTTGTGCGGAGATCGAGCACCCCCCATACGGATCTCCGCACGGATCCGATCTGTGCGGGTGCGGCTCGTGCGGTTGCAAGTATGGTTTCCTTGCATTTATTTTCAATTTCCTTGCATTTATTTTCGTTTTACTGACAGATTCCCACAAAGGGATCTGAGAGGGGGGGCTCAGGGAAAGGCAAGCTGACAGTCCATCCTTCTAATTCAGTGGAGTAATCAGGGACCCTTCAGCCAGACGGAAGGGGGCATGTGTGTGTGCACTGATGTCATTCTCTGCTATTTTATTTTGCCTTGCCGGGGGAATAACAACCGGACTGACCCTCCCGACAATGGATATGGAGCCAGGACCATAACGACCTTTTTTTTTTTTTTTCCCCAAACCTTCTGCAACCTGAAACCTGCTTGCAAAGACAAAAGGGAAAAAAAAAGAAAGAAAGAAAAAAAAAAGAGTAAAATAGAAAAGCCAACTCTGTCCTCTCACTGCATGCATAGTCAAACGCCCTCGCGAAATCGATTCCTGTTTCCTCGCAATAAAGTTATTGACTCGGAACTAATAGCTCTTTTTTTTTTCAAGTTTAACTTTAAAAATTACAACTTACCCTTGCCAGCACGTTTGTGATTTGAGCAGACAATCCAACAACCATTTCGCGGCTTCTTTTTTTTTTTTTTTTTTTCCCTCGAAGTTTGGACAAACAAATCAACAAACGCTTTTGTAGGTTTCTTTCTTCCCACCGACCAGCACACATCGGAAGTTCTAACTTCAAACGAACATGAGTTCTGTCATCGCTGGCACTGTCGAGTCCAACCGGGTTCGAACTCTTGATCTCGTTATCCAGAGGTACAGATTTGTAGCTTCTGTGTTCGGCCACTGAGCAGGTCCACTTCCAGTCGGGCAAAGATTCGTTCTAAGCTTACAAAAGACTTTTTTTTTTTCGGGGGGGGGGGGGGGGAGGAATCCACAACCCCGACTTCCTCTTCCGTAACCCCCCTCCCTTCCTCCCCCCCCCCCCCCCCCCCCCCCCTCGCAAACCATCCCCCTGCACACTGGTCCTCGCCACTCCACGCACCACTGACAGTAAATAGTTTTATGCAATTTATTTAATTAAATTAATTGTATTATCCCAATTCAGTACAAACAATCGAGAGAGCTCAGCGGAGATATCAGCCATATATGAAGTTATATTTACATATTTGTCCGATTGGTCACATAAAGAGCGAGTCATTCAAGGTGGTTATTTGGTATTCTTTGAGGGTTTTAAGGTTTCAGGGTTCCAGGGTTTTAGAGGGTTCCAGAGAGGGTTCCAGGGTTTTAGAGGGTCTAGGGTGTTAGGGTTTTAAAACTTTTAGGGTTTTAGCCTTTGGGGCCACCTTCTGGAGTTGGCCCTTCCTACTTGCACGTCAAGAACCTCGGCACTCGCAATGTCGTACCCTTATCCAAACTCACACAAGAATCTTATCAGATCGATCCCATCTAACATCTGACATCTGACTCACGGTTCTCAGACCACTATTCGCACAGAGTTTGGTTGGTTCTAAACGCCAAGTACTTTCTACGTAATTTCTACGTACTTTCTACGTACTTTCTATGTACTTTCTGGTCTACCTATCTCGGCCTTTTGGCTACTACGATCAAGTGTGCTGTCTGTTCTGATCAGCGTTTAATGTCCGACCTCCAGTCCATCGGACATCGGACCATTAACCATCGTCTCTATCTCTTTTCTCCTCCCAGCTGGCAACACATCTTCTTCTTTCTTTCTTTCTTTATTTGTTTATTTATTTTTGTCCTTTTTTTTTTTTTTTTTTTTAACCGATAGCCTTGAGATATGGTCATCTCACTGACTCACCCTAAGGAAAATCTAACTGATTCACCCTAAGTAAATCAGAGCTGTAGTATTTTACACATCTGCTTCCAGTGAAGTTCGAGCTCGGGTCTGTATTTCAACAGTTTTTCAAGGCTGTACCGACCGAGCTACGCCAGTTGGTACGCTGGCAACATATCTAAGAACCCGGAAAACGAAAAAGAACTAACCTTTGGGGTGGGGGGGGGGGGAAGGGGGGGGGGAGGGGAATGAGAGAAAGGGGGAGGAGCGGGAAGTGAAAAAAAAAAAAACTAAAGAGCCTTGCCACTGGAAGGCAGAGGAGCGAACGATGGTATAAAATTATATGACGTTACCTACACGCAGCTAAAGCTATAATGCGCTAGATGGCCCAGACTGGAAGACCTGGCCGGATGACAGGAAAAGGGCATCGGGACAGCCAGAGGGGTGCCAGAGGGGTGGAGGGCCCAAGTTGTCCGGAATCCCTAGAGTCATATTCATGTCAAAATTAAAATGCAGTATTTTTATTTTATTATTATTTTTTTTTAATGCATTAAACTGTGTTATTGCCCGGGCCGCTGGGGTCACCTTGGTTGCCCAGGCGGCCCAGCCGGACAAGGGCCACGGAAGTTCCATGTAAAATAAATTAAAAAAAAAAAGAGGGAAAAAAACTATGTTGTGCTATGCCACCAGAGTCGCCCGGAACCACTTGCCCGGTCGAACCCAAAAAAANCGTAACAAGGTTCCATAGGTCTTCTTCCACCCAAAATGGCCTTCTGTATCATGGCATTCCCCCAAGATCATACTCTTGATCTCCTCATTATTCGATATACACAACCTATCACTGTCTCTTATACACATCTAGATGTGTATAAGAGACAGGGGCAAGAGAGGAGGAGGGTTCTTTACTTGTTAATTAGTTCCTAGGCTACCAGAGTGGCCCGGGGTCACTTGCCCGGCCGGGCCAAAAAAAATTGAAAAAAAAAAAAAAAAAAAAAAAAAAAAAAATCTTAAATTTTTGTTTTTATTTTATATTTGGTAAAGAATTTCGATGCGACTCTGAGGCAAAAGTTGTTCAGTTTATTTTTCTGCATAACATAGTTTTTTTTCGGAGTTTTCGGAATTTTTTTTTTTCCGCTGGGACCTGCTTTGGTTCTTGAACGACCGTGCCGCCCGGGCAAACAAGGTAGACCTGGGCGGCCCGGCTGGTAGCCTAGATGTCGTGTAGAAAAATTACCTGAACAGGATTTCCCATTTTCTTCTGCTGTTAAACCACTAGTACCTCCGAGCAAAAACGTTTTTGCCAAACCTGAATTTCACTGCGCTCCCAGTTTGCCGAGCCTGGGTACCACTCCGTTTTCTTTCTGGTACTCTCACGGAAAGAACAAAACAAAAGAAGAAGAAGAAGAAGAAGAAAAGTTGCGGCCTTGAACCTCAGAAAAGAAGAAGAAAAAAAAAAAGGAAACAAAGCTTTGGCCGTGATTGCAGTTCTATACATTCTTGGAAGTGGTAGTGCGAGTGTGCCCTCAATGAGGGCATCTCAGCCCCGTGGCCAGGTTGTCAGATTCCAAAAAGAGAATAGAAAGGGGGGGGAACGGGCACATGGATCCGGCCGTGAAAATGGCTGGATACATTCCCCTAAGTGCCAGTGTGATGAGCCTTACAATCCTCTGACAAAACACAGCGTGAGCAGATCACGGACAGCTTGAGCAATTCACGGACAGGGCACTCATATAAAGACATTGTTCATTTGGAAAAAAAAAAAAAAAAAAAAGAAACACACGACCAAGAAAAAAAAAAAAACAGTAACATTCAGAATGTGACCGCCTTACCTGTAAGGTGCATTCTGTGGAGGAAGATTGTGAGCACGGCCTCCTGGACTACCTTGCCCGACATCATTGCAGTCGAGAAAGCTTTTTTTTTTTTTTTTCCCTTTTTCCTTTCACTCGCGGCACTATAAAATTCAGATTTATGGGACATTGCCCACCCTGTGTCCCACCCCCGATTTCTTCCGGAACTGTCAAAACCTCGTAATTTCCCAACACTGGTGGAGGTACTAGTGGTTTAAAATAATAATAATAATAATAATAATAATAATAATAATAATAATAATAATAATAATTAATTAATAATAATAATAATAAATAAATAAATAAATAAATAACAATCTTCTGGCATCTTGCATTTGATGACGCACGCCTACCTGGGGATGTCGTGAAATGAGTAGCTGCAGATCTGCCTTTATGCTCTTCAAGAACTCAATCTAAACAAATAACAGCGATACCGCAAACACAATAAACGATTCAAAAACAGCAAAAAGAAAACGAATATTAGAAAACCCACAACAGATTAAAACAAAAAAACAAAAAAAACAAAAAAACATGATATTTGTCATCACTCAGCTCACAAAAAATCGCCGGTCGTGCAGATATCCAAGCCGCTGATAGCTGTTGTGGAAATTGAGCGCATTCACAGGGACGAAGTTTTCGGAAGGCCGGCAAGAACTGCAGGCAATCCACTACACGTGACCGTCCATAATTTATCGACCTCATGCAATGCAGCGAACAGATCCCAAATTTTCAAGTAGATTCATCACACAGCTAACTGATTTTGGGGGCAGATTCAATGCACAGCTCCTGATAGCTTGAATGAACACATTCAATGCACAGCTTCACATTCAATGCACAGCTCCTGGCTTCTTTCTAAGGGACAAGTGGGAAGCACCCATCAGTAAAAAACTTCATATGGAAAATTTCAGGATGCAAACATCAAACAATTCGCAGTATGTCACAGAACATCAGCAGTCTTCCTAGCAGCTCTCTCTGATCTGATGGTCAATCTGGCAATCTGGCAACCTGAAAAACTCTCTCTCTCTCTCTCTCTCTCTCTCTCTCTCTCTCTCTGTGTGTGTGTGTGTGTGTGTGTGTGTGTGTGTGTGTGTGTGTGTGTGTGTCAACTAGGGCAAACTATTACTATGGAAAACTTGAGAGGAGAGAGAGAGAGAGCGGCAGTGAGGCTGCATCGCAGTGTCAGGTTCGAGTTGTCCTCTCCCGCAGATACTCGAACTCGAACCTGACACTGCGACGCAGCCTCACATGTGTAATATCATGATTGTGTGAAGTTCTTTGGTATAAAATCTGTGTTCCCATCTTTGTTCCACTTTCATCCATCTCTTTTCCCCCTTCGTTTTGCTGTGATGCATGTTCCGCCCACAAACAATCACCAATGCGTGCTGTTCGTGTCTGTCTCGTCTGTTTCCACCTCTTTCCTCTTCCCTCCTCCTCCTCCTCCTCCCGCCTCCGCTTTCTTCTCTGCTCCCCTCTTCTTCACTCCCGGCCCTCCTAGCAAAAGCCGCAGGCCACTTTGAAAAGGCCCAGTCGCAGGCTCATGAGCCTTGGAAGGTATAGCTTTCTCAACTTAGCCTCGGCTCGTGTCAACTGCTGCTGGTTTAACAACCAGCATGCAGTCTCTACAGCAGAAGTAATCAATGCTGTTCAGATGCACCCGTCGGCATCAAAAGGCCGACCACATTCAGTGGGCCCAACTACAAATTTTTCGGGACTTTTCTTTTTTCCCGGGTAAAGGAACCGGACTGACGCTCCTCCACACAATGGATAAGGAGCCAGCCAGTACCGCCAGCATTAGGTGGGTCAAATTACACATTCTTTCCATTAGGTGGGTCCCACCTAATCGGTACCACCTAATGCGCCCAACTACACACCTGTTAGGTGTGTCAAACTACACCCCTGTTAAACCACCACTACAATCCCTTCCAGGACACCTTAGGTGGGTCAAATTACACATTCTTTGGGACTAACTACACATTCTTTGGGACTAACTACACATTCTTTGGGATGAACTACACATTCTTTGGCGCTAACTACACATTCTCTGGGACTAACTACACATTCTTTGGTACTAACTACACATTCTTTGGAACTTGGTGGGGGAAAGGAGCTGGACTGACGCTCCTCCACACAATGGATAAGGAGCCAGAACCATGAGGACCTGTGTTAAACCACCACAACTGTTCACAGGCAAACGCAAAACACCAAAGACAGGCTGGAGGCACCAACCCAAAAGAAGAAAAAGATGTCGCCTCGGCTAAACAGTATTCACACCCCTGCTCGCTCCCCCCCCCC